CCCCACCAGTAAGAAATAAGAGAAGGTTGGAGACTCGCATTGCGAATCAATCATGCATTGCACATCTGTCCTCCCTCCGTCACGAAACCCTTTGCGGACTATAGAGGCTTTGCACCATCACTTGCCGCCCATGACACAGCTTGGAGTGCCTGTGATTAGGAGGCAGAACAATTAAATCCATTTGCTCTCGTAAATTGAATTCTTTCTCATGTAAAACGCCATTGTATTGTCACTGCCATCTAACATGGCTGCCGTCACGTGATGGTGCAAAGCCTCTATCTTCCCGTCGGAATAAGAACCTTCTGGTAAGTAGGTAGGTTATCCTCACCATCTTGTACTCACTCCCTTTATCATCAAAACTATTTGCTCTCGCTTCTACTGGCACTTAGTTCTTTATTCCACATTTTAACTGAATTCTGCTAAGGTTATTTTTAAAATGTTTTAGGTGGACATGCCATTTACCCGAGTATGTACATAGTACATTTCACGTACAAATTTAAAATTGAATAGAAAAATATTTTTACAGGCCGCCATATTGCCAGTTGCCCAAGACCGCAAAACGAATAATGATTTGCGAAAAAAAAAWTTTTTTTAAACAAACCAACGCTAATTAGTGACTGTAAGATAACAGTGAATGTTATTTGACTTATTTGAAAGATTTTGAGTAACTGATTTGGCGTTTAAAAGTGTTTTTGTTCAAGTCGATAGCGAGTTGAACCTGTTGGAGCCAAGACATTTTGTGAAAAGTGGTAGCCACTTCAAGACTCGCTTTTGCAGATTCCCGGATGTCCAGCCCTGTCACGTGACGATAGATGGCGGTCGATTGAACCGCTGGGTCTTCACTTTTTGTCCTTTTTGGAAAAGCACCATTCGCTTTGGGGAAAAAATCGACGGAATTTGCTTTATTAGAAACGCCACCATCATCACTTTTCGCTTTTTCCGGATGCTCTTTCCCTTTTGATTTATTATACTGATGTAAAAATTCTGAATATTGTAAACCATTCTGTTTGCCGATTGGTGGCATTTTTTCCGTGTAGTATACTCGATCACTCGTGTTTTGTTTTGCTTTCTCCGCTTCCGTTAGCCAATCTTCTCGATTTGATGGATTTCTTTCAATGGAATCCAGCAAAGCTTCAGTCACAAACACCCGGTGTTTTTCAATATCATCATTTCTGTTTTCGATTGTTTTATCTGCAGCGAATCGTTTGTGATTAGAATTAAAATCAGACGGAAGTTTTGTATTTCCGTTAATCACAGGCATACTCAGTCGCCTATCTATTGTTGTAGTTTCTGCCAGTAGAGAAACAGGATTTTCATCTGATTTTTCCTCGCTATTCACACGCTCCAAAGACTCCAAATTACTTTCCTTCCATCTGTAGGATTCATACTGTTTCACGAATTTCTTCTTTTTCTTTGTGTTCAAAGCGGCTTCTCTCGCATTTTCTTGCTTGATTATCTTTCCATAGCAACAAGAATCGCAGACAGCTGGCAGAACTTCAAAAGAATTTCGTATCGAAATTTGTTTTGATGTTTTCATATGATCTGTCAGCACACGTTCGTGTAATTCGTCGGTTTTCTTTTCGTCTGCTTCTCTAGGGAATATTGATTTACCATTTAATAAATCATCATGCTGAACATTTGGACTTTTAATTGCTTTCAAAGTCTTTGTATTCATCTCCATAGCACCTGCTTCAACTAACGCTTTCTTAGGATCGTTATGAACTAACGATAGCTCAAGCTTTGACGCAGAGTTCTGTAATCTTTTCCCAAATCCATCCACATAGACTTTTTGTCCAACAGCGGCTTTTCGATAGCTTCTCTTCTCCATAGCCAGCAATAAAGGGCTTGGATTATGCTTTTGGTACACTAACGCTCTATCCCTTGCTCTCTCGCTCCACTTTTTTATTTTAGCGTACAATGTTATGGTCAGGCCTTCAATACTTCGGGAGCGAAACTGTTCTGCAATAAGCAGCTTAAAACACTCAGTTTGTTTATATCTTCGAGCTATGTTACACGGCGTTAACCCATTGCCATCTTTAGCTAGAATACAAGCGTAATTATGATGAATGAACTGGCGAAGGCAAATCAAATGTCCTCGCTGCGCCGCTTCGTGGACTGGCGTTTTTAGATGATCAACATGAACATCTCCGTTACACCATTCTCGAATGGGATGCTCTCCCACTGGTTCATCTGATCTAGCGCCTGATTTCATTAAAACTGCAGCTAACTGAGTATATCCGAAGTGTGCTGCTATAAACAAGGCGACTCTAAGCTGATATTTTGCCGTGAGTGGATCCTCTGCCATACTTATCATATGCTTCAACGTCGGTGTCAAGTGGCCCTTAGTAGCCGCTTTCAAAAAACTCGCCCAGCCATCCCAGGTTTCCAAACGAATAACATCCCCAACGTTGATATTATAATCATTAAGAATATTACAATCAAACATCTCTTTTCCTTCGGGACTTATGAGTCGGAATACGCTCACATGTAGGCCTGTTTTATTCATGATCATAGTTCTTAGATCACTAACCCTTGTCTCCCAGACTGAAAAGGACTCGGTAAACTTAACCGTATCACCAGAATAAACAATGAATACATTGAGGTAGGATTTGACGTTTTCCACTAATTCACATCTTAGTGTTGCACCAGAAGGAATACTCAGATCAGCGTAGATCCAGTCGTCTTCGAGCGAGCCTCCAGCGAATCGAAGAGACATTTGACTATCATTTTCGCTTTCTTCATTCTGTACTGTGTCTAAATCGAATTTTCGTCGAAGCACTTGTTTTATTTCGCCGACAGTTTGTCCCAAGTCCACATCAATACAATATCGTTCGTCTTTGAATAGAATGAACACTCTCATGGCTGTATGAACCACAACAAACCAACCATCTAGTTAATCACGTTGAAGAACTGTATCAAATGTAGTCACACAAACTACCAATGGTACCAGCTCTATCGAGTCGGTCACTAGGGAAACTGCCTTATAAATAAATGAATGAAATACTAATTATTTTCTATTAGCTTGACAATGAGATCGACTCGCTCGCTTGTCTTAAACAAGCCTTGGCACTAGTAAAGGTAAACGTGTGGCATACTCGATGATTTAATGACGAAATCGCTGTCAAGCTGAGACCAATGAATACTTCTAGAAGCCACTTTAGTGCTCCCCGAACTGAACTCCAATTTATGCCTTTTTTGTACAACGAAATCCGTTAACAAGAGTGCGTAATGGACCGATCAAAACTGCTTTTGTTCTTCCAATTAAAGAATTCAAATCTTTTCTTACAGAAATTCAATTGGAATTAGTGAGTGAATATTTCTTCAAAGCACTTGAATCTGTCGAAAACAATAGAAAGCTTGTCTTTTTACACTAATGTTTTTCGTCTCTGATGTCCGACGTCCAACAGTGTAAAAATTCTTTAGCTCAAACCATAACATATTTAAGCTAAATAAAAAACAATTCAACAAAGAATAACACTGCTTTTTGTTCGCTTTTGCCGTTGCATTTTAAGACATCGTTAATGTATTCTTTGACGTAGACCATTAATATCTGAAGTTGGAAGTCCTTCGAATATTGTTTTTTTTCCCCCCTTTTTGGTGAAATAAATACATACTACAGTAGTGTTACGAAATATCGAAAACAAGGCTTTTTTTTAATCGAAAAATCCAAAACCTTGATATTCATATTCAGAATAAGATCGTGAAGATGTCTTGAAGCATCGAGAAGCGATCGTGATCCTATCGAGAGGATATCGTAAATCATCGATAGTCAATCGTGATCACATCGAAACGATATGGATCTTAGAGCATCGAGAACATATTTCAAAAATTCGCTTATTTGTTCAAGTTCCAGTTCAAGGGATTATCATCATTATTTTCTCAAAAATAATATGACACAAACCGACCCGATACAAGAAAACAAACCGAAATCTTTATTTTCATATTTAGATTCTTTATTGCACAATTAATGCTTGTTTAACTTACAATTGAAATTGTTTGACTTAACTACTCAAAAGCATTTTTATCGTTAGCAAAATTTATTTAACCAATTAGGTAGCTTTTTCTACGAAGGTTCTCGTAACCAATTAGATTGTTCGATCTAATGATTTTGTCTCAGGATCACATTTTGTCTTGGAACTAAGATACTTATCCTCACTGGACGATAAAAATATTCATTCTAACGAAAAATTGGCTCATAAAAAATGCTCTAATTTTTCTGACTCGAATCCAGTCATTGCTCTGTTTTTCAAAACGAAATTGCATGGGACGAATCCGGGCCTAGTTACCAGGTCCACGCAAGACTTAATCTATTTTTGGAAGAGCAAGACTGGATACGACTCAGGACAGACTCGTTTAACTTGCCTTAATGTTGTTTGTTAATAAGCGTTTCAAAGCATGCAACATATATTGGGGTTTATTTAGGTGAAAATTGGGAGATAACACTTCTTGATCAGCGTGAGCCTTTGAAAACACCGAAGACTTAGCCAGGTTTTTTTTGGGATAGTTGGTGTTGTAGGTAATGTTTGTGTAGGTTCATGTAAAGTGATTGATAGGTAGGTCGATTAGTTGGTGAATGGGTTGTTCAAGTAATAGGTCGGTGGGTGCGGATTACAAAGATAAGTGTGGGGATTGGTTGGAGTGGGTGAATGATGGTCATGTTGATTGGCGAGTAGGTGTGGTTTTGGTGTAATTGTTTAATGTGTATGTATTAGGTGTGAGTATGAGGATGGATCGTGTGTGGGTGTGGTATAATGGTTTAAGTGTATGTGTATATATGTGTATGTGTATATATATTGACATTTGATGTCAAGTTCTTAACCCCAGTTCAGCGGGAACATGGTTATCAAGGCTAACTATGACCAAGAGAGAACACCAAAAAGAGAAATAACAGCTAAGTGGGGTACAACATTAAGCCAAACTAACTGGAGTCCATTCCTCCTCGGTCATCCCGAGGCGAACAATTTCAACATCATGCCTAAGACCTGCTCTAAATAGAATATTATTAATATATTATGAATATATTAAACGTGTTTTAAACGAATGTATAGATTTGAATATATTAACGTATGAATTTCATAATTTCACAATAATATAATGAATTTCATTTGTACTGATTGTTCTTTAGCACTCGGCTGCCATAGCAACAAACACAGCCAATAAGAAGCCGACATTTGCAATTGGAATTCAAAAATAAATTACATATTTGAATAAATTTCATTACACTTTTAATAGATACTATTAAGGCGTTTTTTAATAGGCTTTAATAAAATTCTGTCTTAGTTTTCCTTGTTTGATTTTTCCATTCAAATACATCACTAGTCGAGCGAAAGCCCCATTGAGCTTTGCTTAGTTTTGTCCCATTGTGAACACATGACAATTTAGTTTCTATGGCAACTAAAGAACAAAAATGAGATCGTTTTTCCGAAGTTCAGAAGAAGACTTGTAAGGTTTTCGTGGCGCATAGGATTGTGGGTTGAAGTGTTTGGTTTCACTTTGCGTCATTTCCTGTCTTGTGCAGAATGTTCATCAGAAGAATCACAAGTTCGATGGAATTTTTTCTGAGTGAAAGCACAAGGGGATCAGTGTTTGACCACTATTCCGAGCAGATAACGATAACTATGAGATTCAAAGACTTTTATCAGCTGATTGATGTTTCGTTATGTTGTCTCCCACAATCCTTTGCGCCACGAGCTCCTTTCCAGTCTTTCTTTGAGTTCAGAAAAGCAAATTGTAAAATCTGAGAGTCGATGATTCCAACCTAGAGAAACACCTCAATTATGCGTTAATTTCTTGGAGTTATTACACCTTAGAGGCAAGTAATGTTAGGCAAAGTAAGGATAAGTTCGAAAAGGATTGTTCTTTTCTCTGCTACCTTTCGATTTCATTAGTAATAAGCTTTCTGCTTTGCTTTCATTGGGATTGTCTAACATAAAGGCTTCCTCTGTTAATTTTATCTGTTTGCAACAGAACGGGTTACCTGTGGAGATTTGCCTGTGATTCTATATCATAATGGATTTTATTACACTCTTCGAGCCCTGTCCTTCTTACTACACACGCTCGACGAAATGCAGGCCCTGTGCTGATTTCTTCGAGGTGCTCTAGAGATCACAATAATTTAAAAAGCTCTGTGTAGAGATATATTAGCCTGGAGTTGAAGAACGCGTTGCATCACGGGACTATTTTAAGGGACGCTTTAATACTTATATGGCGTCTTTTTCGATTGATGGTAGTGAAAAGTAATAGAAAACTTATATAATCGTGTTAATTTTAAAATTTACTTCGTTTCTTGAGGCAACACAGCCCTATAATGCAACATATTCCTACATCTCAGGAACGGCCAATTCGCGCTTGCTAATAGAGGCTTTGCACCATCACGGCGTGATAGCAGCCATGACACGACGCAGGAACAATTGAATCTTTTCTAATCTGATTTACATGAGAAAGAATTCAATTTGCCTCCTGTCATAGTGTCTATGTCCTGCATAGCCTCTATTGTCCGTTACTGACTTATATTATAAAAGAAATGTTTGAACCAAACTAAAACACCAATGGAACCTCTCTATTCTCTCTCTCTCTCTCTCTCTCTCTTCACTGTAGCTAACACGAATATACACAACGTTTATAGATGTATTATAAAGAATTTAAAAAATCCCCATAAAGAAATAACGAAAATACTTATATAATTAGAAAAAAATATAATTTCAATATCCTAAGAAAAATGTCTAGGCAGACTTAATATCAGAATAGGAATAATCTGAGTTATTAAAAATTATGTCTAATGAAAAACACCGACCAACTATCGTGAAGTCAGAGTGGAGAATTCAAGGTGAAAGAAAGATAAAGAAAGGATGGATAAAAGAAGGGGATGAAGGAAACACTGCACGAGCAATCAAGCAAGCACACTGCCAGGCATCCCAGCCACTTTTTAGACAAATTTGATAGGAAATATAGGCTGTGCAAGTTCTAAATATAGGAAAATATAGGATTTTTTCCCAAAAATATATGCACTTTATAGGAGCTAAGATAGCTTTTCGGTGGCGTAACCAGGGATCGGCCATAAAAAAAACCAGAACCAAAAAAAAAAAAAAAGGGGTGGCCATTTTATTTCCTTCGCCAAATATGCTAAACAGTGTAAAATATAAATGAATCACTCAGCAGTCGTCCTATTTATAGGAAATATAGGAGGTTTTCTTTAAATATAGGCTCTTTATAGGATCCTATACAAATTATAGGAAATATAGGATATATAGGAGGTCTGGGATGCCTGCACTGCACAAACAAGCAAGCAAGCAAGTAAGCAAGCAAGCACACAAGGAAGCAGGGAAGCAAGCAAACAAGCAAGCACACAAGCAAGCAGGGAAGCAAGCAAGCAGGTAAAGAAGGAAGGAAAAAAGGTGGAAAGGCCAAAAAAACGAAACAAAGCGAAATCTCCTGTCACTTGTATTCACACCAGAATCTCAGAACCTCACTTAAACTTCTCCATTGACTCTACTCAACAAGATTGTTCAGCACCATAACATCCCAACGAAACAGCATTCCACAATAATTAACCAACATTACACATCCAATTCTCGATTTTCTTGACAACTTTTCAATGAAGAACAACAACATAGTACTAAGAATTTTTTTGATACGAATTTCTGTGCTTAACTTTTTAAAACAAAAATATATGGGGATTTCTTTGTAAAGTTTAAATGCTCTTTGAACTTTAAAACTCGTTTCCATGGAAACATGACTATATGACTATATAT